TCCTCAAATGTGAGAATCTGCATCTTTTCCTTGTTCTTTAGATGATTGTAAACTGATCATTTTTTGGCGTTTTGGACTGTTGGTCGGACAAAACAAGACACAAGCTCAACTCTGTGTTCTGATGTTTCAAAGACAAAATAATGAATTGAGAAAATAATTGGCACATTAATTGACAATAAAGAATGAAGCCTCATGGCTTGTGTGATATTTGGCATTAGATGCGAGTGAGGAAGCAGCTCTCTGTTCTCTCGACGACTTTTTTCATAAACTTTATAATTTATTAGACGGAGGATTCTGTGGCCTATTTCACAAAGCCCGATGAGATTTATGTTGTGAACTAAATTCCTGTTTACTCACTAATAAAGTGTTCCGCTGGATATTCTTAAGTTCATGCATGCAGATGGAATGAATGAGAATGTAACTGTAAACTAAAGAGAGGAAGTACTGGCCTGATTATTATTACTTTCACAATTAGTTGATTCATTGTTAAAGGTTCTCAATACGGAATTCAGAGCATTTCTGTTGCCTCCACAAGGCTCTCAGCCGGCTGGCAGTCAACGTTGCTAACAGTGCAGACAGAGCTAACAGTGTTTAGCTGAAGGGGAACCGGAGGGGGGGTGCTACGCTGTATGAGAGCAGTGCAGCGCAGCGGTGACCAGATACCCAGTGGGTATTGACCGGTCTCTACAGCTACCAGAGCCGTGTACGGCGCCTCTATGTCACTCCTCCGCAGTCCAGATGTGCTGACTTCAGTTCACTGGTTGCAAAAAAACAAGATGGCGACAGTAAAAATCCAAGATGGCGACGACCAAAATGTTGAACTCGATACTTCAAAACCGCCGTCCACAAACCAACGGGTGACGTCACGATGACTACGTCCACTTCTTCTATACAGTCTGGCTATGATCACAACACACTCGTTACTTCACTATATCTCCATTTAACCAACAGCTGTTTGTAAACGATTAATCATGAAACTCTCTTGTGTTCATTTGTTGGTTCCTGCTTCTCAAATGTTAGGATTTCTGCCTCTCTTTGTCATATATATATATATATATATATATATATATATATATATATATATATATATATATATATGATAGTAACTTGAATATCTTTCAGTTTTGGACTGAGACGAAACATGCAATTTGTGGAGACACCATCTACTCTTATTGTGTAGGGCAAGAAAATAATTGGCAGATTTATTCAAACTTGAAAATCATCATTAGTTGCAGCTCTTTTTAAAATGGTGTTAATACAATTTCTTCTGGACTAGAACACACACTGATGCAAGAACTGAGCGTTTATGACGTTTATTTAGAATATAGAAATGACTGAACGGATAGGAGAGGTAACATAACCCAGGGTGACATTGCTGACTGTATATCCATTATGCGTATAGTCTGTGTGAGTGTTTGTGCTCTGACAGATATGTTTAATGCAGTGGCTGCAGCTGAGCAGACTGCATGGCAGGGATGTGATGGTGTTGTGTCGGAAGGTGAGGGGAAAGTGTATGTTTATGTGACTGACATCACAATCAACAACACACTCGGTAATGCGGAGGCAGAAGGGGATGTTGGAGAAATGTTCCCACACGTTTCTGTTAACACGGAAACTCAGGTGAGGGAACTGATGTGTGTTTTGATATTTGAGGAAGCCAGCACAGGAGAACAAGACAAAGAACTCCAGAGTGTTGAGTTTGACAATCTTTATTGTTGTTGTAAATCAGAAAGATCTACAACCAAAGAAATGTCCTGTGGAATTCCTCGTTAAAACAAAAGACACAGTCAACCCACCTGGTAGCGTATCTGGTTGGTTTCAGACAGTTCTACTGTAAAGCAGCCGTCAGTGTCGATGCTTTTCTCTTCTAGTGTGACCGGAGTGCGTCAAGTAAAGGATTAGCAGCTAAAATTAAGAATCTTCAGGCGAGGGTCATTCTTTGACATTTAAAAGTCTTTGTCCATTTGTGGCAACAAATCAATTTATTTAAATTTAATTAATTTCAGTTTTGAAAAAAGGGAGGGAGGAGGTGTTTCTCGCTTTAGAAGGATGTTGTAACAAACAGCAGCATAGAATCACCAACATAATGTTTATGAAATAATTCTAATTTGACAAAAAAAATGCTTTGGTCTTGCATAAAGAGTAAAAGATGCAGATGTTAATTAATGCAACCAGAGGTCTTTACACCACCTTCCTAAATCATCATATCAAAGAGACTTGGGTAAGCTACTTTACTTCACTTGTGAATATGTGTGTGTTCTCTTTCTTTCCGGGGGTTGGATGAGAAGATGAATGAAACTGGAGCCAGGCGATCCTTAGCTTAGCTTAGCTTAGCATGAAGACAGGGAACAGTCCAAACATTAATAAACGAAATCCACGTACCTAAAGTCACTTCATATCTCCTTTGTTTGATTTGTACAAAAAACATAACGTAAAAACATGTTACAATACGTTTGTTAGGGGTTATGTTCCGGTCTATTTCTTGGCTGAATTTACCCGTCTCTCTTATGTTTTTAACCTGTTTTCACTGCTGACTCAAACATTAGCAAAGGGTCAATTCCTTTAAGTATTGTCAGCACGAGATACATTGTGAGGCACATTATGCCCCTTAAAAACTCAACTTATTATTTTAACAAATTTGCATATATTCCAAAATGTCAAACTCTTCCTGTATAAGGATCAGTATTCCACACGGAAGACTTGGTTTGCAAACAAGATTTAAAAAAATACATTAAAACTCAACATGAAGTCAAAAGAGTCAAAGCACCAGAGAGGGAGACTTAACTGAACAAAACAAAATGCAACATGCAAATATCTATTAGAGACCACAGCAGCTATAATTACGTGTATAAATTAGACACGGTAATTGTTGTGGGGATAAATGAATCCCCAGTTCTTGAACTCTTTCCCCCCCAAGAGTACAGCAACATTTTGTATAATTAAAATTGCATTCTGTTCCTCTTGTATGCTTGTCACATCAAAGGATCCTGTCAGGAGGAGAGAGATCTTGACGTCCCTCTTCTAAGTCAGAGTTCGACATAGTTGCAGTGCAGTTTCACTCATTAGTTTTACTCGCAATGGAGCGTTTCCCAATTAAGACCTGGGATTTGCCGATATTATTCGGGTTATAGCATTCTTTGGACATGATACAGCACATTTAGGATATGCTGCATCACAGCCTCTTGCCTGTTTACGGTGGACTCTGCGCTGTACAGGAATTCACACAAACCAACTGCCAACAGTTTGCAGAGATGCATGCCTAAAAGAAAAGGCCATATTTGTGGATGGAATTAGAAACTTACCTACTTTTAAACATCATCAAGGACTTGGATACAGACGGTTGTTGAATGAATGAAAGAGAGAGGCTGTTGGATGGCTGTGATTTTAATATGCAGTTGATATCTGGTTATAGGATGAATATGTAAACATATTGGGTAAATGACTGAAGTCTGATAGCACAGCCCCCCCATTCCTCCAGCATGAGCCCACAATGTCTCAATAACCTTCTCAGTATCCCGTCTCCACATCTCCTCTTTCTGTGCCGCATGCAGCACACATCCACAGGGACGCGTGACAAACACTCTGACATGTTCTACTCTAAATTCCCTCTCAGTGCATCTGTAGTGGAGCTCCTCACCAGATTAAGTTTAATTCCAACATGAGATATCCTCCGTGTTTTTTTAAGATGCGGCACCCTACCGTTACAAAAGGATTGCTTGCCTGGAAGCAGAAGTCACTGGATGGATTATCACTGAACGCATGAGCAAAGTCAAGACCTTTGCTCATGAAAAGAGTGTGTGCTGCTGCAGATAAGCATTGCCTGTCCACAAATCTCATCAGGGCAACAGGTTGAGCAATGCACACGCGGTGTCTTTAGGTTAATAGAAAACAACATGACATAGAGGATAGAGGTTTGGAGCGATGGAGCTACGGAGGACAGTTGCTCCACGCACACTTACGTTGTCGCTAAAAGTTGCAGATTGATTAGCGGATGTTACTGGTTTGTATTGGTCGGTACTAGCTTAAGGAAGCATGCGCCATGTTTTGTTTTACAGGAAGAAAAGATGATTTAACTTTCATTTAAAAATACGAAGAAACTGAATTTTTTTACAATAGTTGGCCAATATGTCTGAAGATGTGATCTTCAAGGGTGAAAAGAGACACTTTTCATTTCATCTTGACTTTAAGGTTTAGGATAGTGCACATCATGGGCGTCTGCTGTAGCTGCATATCAGACACAGAACATGATCTGAGAAACAAAGTCGTTTTGGAGCGTTTTTTGTTTTGTTCGTGAAGCACGTGTTTGAAACTGTAACTGTTCAGTCCGGAAGAAACAGCCTTCCCTCAGAACATGACAGAGTGCAGTTCAGTTGAATGGGAATGTAACCATGTAGGACACAGGTTTGTATGAAGCCACAGAGTTAGCAGATCGAGGATGTTGGGATGGATGGACGGGTCAACAAAATAACACACTTTGACACGGGAGGCCGCGGCTTGTGCTCGAGCCGTAACCAAATCCTGTTTTGTACCTAAATCCAACCAAAGCTTGAAAACAATAAACAATATTAGTCGTGTCTTCTGGAAGGCAATTTCAAAGTTGTGTTTTTTTTGTTCAATTTGGAGGACTTGTTATAAAAAGTCCTTTACCAAAGACAGTCGTACACATCAGTGTGTCATTAGTAGACGCATGTCTTCCTCATGGCCGTTAGGAGGCAGATACTTGATGAGTGTGTGAGTGGATGAATGAATGAATAGTATTTTAGTGAAGGACTTCCTGGATCCAGGATATGCTAACATTTAAATGCACCAGTCTTTCCCTCTTGAACATTATCACTAGATGACTAACAGAAGTCAGATAATGGCTCGCACTTGTATTTTTGAACCATCTCTCGTACCAACAGTTACTGTGTGATAATAATAACTCATCTGTCCCTACAGGGCCTGTTACTGTCACCAGCCCCCCCCCAGTCATTCTTTCTGTTGTGCTCTGTCTCCTGCAGAGGCTCCTCCCTCTGGGATGTCCAAGAATGGATACTTCTTTCAAGAAATGGGTGAGTCTGAGCCAACAGCACAACATATCGTCTTTTTACCGCTTTTATTTTATTATTGCTATTAATATTTCATTTCTGAGTTTGTTCTTGTCGTATTGGTTTTATTGTTTTATCTATTGTTCTGTTTTATCAGCGATAAACTCTCACTGTTTTCTGTTGTTACATTGCAGCGCTTTGTCTGTCAAAGCGCTTTGTAAACCCTGTTTCTAAAGGTTGTTATTATTATTATTATTATTATTATTATTATTATTATATGAATGCAACGTACACTAAAACATCAACATCAGTTTTTTCACAAAGGAAAACAAAGAAGCCATAATCATGAGTACATGAGCTGGATTCAGAGGTGTGGTGATATTTGTTTAAACGTGGCAGCGCATGACGTTCGCACACTGTTGAGCTGTTCCTACGTCGGTAAGTTTACTTTAGTCAACTATAACTGAGCACACCATCAAATGTCAAACAGACTTTATGAATAGTTGCATCATGGTGAGATGATGATGTGCTGGCAGCCAAACATCTAGCTACGTGGTATTCTTGTTACTCAATTACGTCGTGAATCAATCGACACACCTTAAATGTCAACATGTCAGCTTTAACTGTTCCATTTGTTTTTATTGGCTCTCATGCATGGCGTACACTTTAGTGATGATTAGATCTTTGAGTGTTAAAATTCTACCGGATTATGCAAACTGTTAATATTCTATATCCTGACTCGGAGGAGAAAGAATCGTGGCGGAGCGTCGGTCCAGCTGCACTACATCGATCAGAGACACGACGTGAAGAGGAAAGTGTCAGTTTTTATAATTATTTGCATATTGCCAATGATGTGCTCTGTACAGTAGTGAAAGATGTGACTTATAGATTAGAGCTGCAGCACAGACACCGAAGAACTCTCCCAGCCCTCACTCTCCACTGCATCTGGATATAAATAATAAACTTTGCTGCTGTTATGATAACGGCAGTTTCATTACCTTCAAGCCAAGGAAAGGCACCCAATCAGTATGTGCAGCACAAGCAGTCAGGACAGAATACGCTTGCACTGGATCTCCCCGTCTCCCCACAGCCAGTTATCCTCCTCCTGCAACACACACATTCACTCAGCAGAACCGTGGAAGGCCTCCTGCAGCCCGACACAACTGACGTTATGTGGCAACATTTTATCCAGATATAAATGCAATGTCATCATTGTTGGCAAGTAAGCATCGTCCATCGTCGTCCTCTCAGAGGTGCATTAGTGAGGGTCGGTCTGTAAACAGGGTGATGTGAACAATGACATTTGTTTTATGTTTTGCACTGTGGAAGTGATGCTGTTGTACCGCTGCCCTCTGTGCCGTTATGCTCTTCATTAGAGTGTTAATAGTTGTCTCCAAGTCATATCACCGTCAATGTGCTCAGCTAGTGTGCTAGGAAGGCTGTCGTGAGTCAATCTGATTATGGCTGCTCGCTTTCTGCGTTAAATTGGGTTAAACACAGAAGACAAAAAAAAACATGCAATGTGTGAAGAATGGGAATTTAAAAAAAACAACACAAGAATATTTTCAAAAAATTGTAAAATAATACAACATTGCAACATTTATACAACATTTCTTTGTGATTTTTATCGGTGGATTTTAGGACTTAATTTATGGATTCCTGAGGCAATTGTTGAGCAGAGGTGGTAAAGCACTGAAATCCGGACACAACTCATCTTATGATCATTTCAGTTCATATAGAACAACCTAAACAATAGCTCCACTCATTTCGTATGTGGAATGTACGATGTTGGAGCTTGATGATCTCTGATGAGTGGAGGCGGTCTTTCACTTACAGGTACTGTGGGAAACGCTTTTAACCGTGGAAGGTTCCACACAGTGAAAGACCGACATAACCTTCATCCATACAGTATAGAGTCATCTTTCCTTGTGCATTCTGTACATCATTCACACACCTGTTTCTGATTTGGAACTGATGCCATTGTCTCCATCTATTCTCTCGCCGAAGCCACCAGACTCCATTGAAAAGAAGAGTCAGGGGTTGCTGGCTTACCGCTGCCTCCGTCGGTCAGTTTGTTTGTGTTGTTGTGTGACTTTGAACTAACCCTTTAAAACACCAAAGTCACACAATGACACAAGTCAACCCACTGAAGCAGTGGGAGGGCAGCAACCACATGTCCTGTGAGGTACAATTACTGTTATAGGGGAGACTAAAATATGTTTTGCTGCTTGTTTTGTCTTAAATGAGACATTTGAAGTCGTCCCTTTGGCCTTTAATAGATGATATGAATCAAAACAATAATTGACAGATGAGTCTATACGTAAACGATGGTTTGTTGCAGCCTGAGACGACCTGCGTCGTGTGATTCTCAGCACAAAGGGTTTGAATATGTCTAATGATGCAGGCGTGTTTGTGTCTCTGTCGTCTCTCTCTGTGTGTCACATGTCAACGGCTGCTGCAGAACGCTGCGCGCTGTGTGAAGGAAACGCATCAATCATTGTTTTCATATCGAACATCCGCGTCTCTCGTCCCTGTTCCCTCTACATGTTGCATGCTCGCATTAAAACTGCTCACAGTCACTGAGAGGCAGCGCGGCTCCATTCGTCTGGATGCAGTTCATCATTTCAATCACGATTGTGAAAAGAATCCAGTTTGAGATTTTTAATAAAATCAACCCTGAACGTGAAAAGGGACTCTCTGTGTTTGGACTTTGATATAAAAGATATATAAACGGATAGGAAAGTAAAAAGCAGATCAAATGTTTACAAAGCAAGTGATAAATATTCAAAAGAATTGTTGTGAATTTGAAGTAGAACCGTGGATTTGCTCCTCCTGAAGGTCAGAGCCCAGCCTGAGACACAGCGAGGTTCAAATAATGTCAAGTGCTGAGGGACGATCCCGATGCACGACTGACTGAATGAACTGAAGTTGGGGCCTCCTCACGGATAAGGTCAGCAGATAAAGAGCACGAGCATTGTTCTCGTCGCATCGCCTGGGATGATATTTGGGAGCCTCAGCCTGCTAGTTAATGTAGCTTTGGATCTGAGTGGCTGCTGTGTGAGATGAGATGAGTCATACAAACAGGCTCAAAGGTGAGTGCTGTGATGCTTCCTACCATACGAGATCCTGCCCGCTACAAACCCGTCTACCTGCTGAGTCATGAAGACTTGTCTTCATAGCAAAACAACCAATGACCAACAGCAGTTCTTTGACAATCTGGGCCATTTGTTTTTACCTTTTCAGACGTGGAGGTCCTCTGCTTACGCCTATTTATACATTAAAGCAGTTCAGATTCAAAGAGGTCCATTTAGAGGACATCTCCTCAAGCAAAGGTCTGGAGCATCATACTGTCTCTAATGAGTCAGTGTCATCTTATCAAATGCTTTTCTGTGCCCTCAGTTTCAAAAGATCTGCTCTTTGTCTCGTGGAGGCGCTTCTTAATAATCTCCATGTTCTCAGAACATACGAGACACGCTGGTTCTGAAGTGTGTGGGAAGAACCAACATGTCCGTCTGTTCACTGTTGATTCAAAAGCTCTGCTTTCACTGCCCGGGTTTTTCGAGCACCGTGCATGAAATGACTTCTCTCTGACTACTGTCTCGTCCCCCCCCACCCCCGTGTGTGTGTGTGTGTGTGTGTGTGTGTGTGTGTGTGTGTGTGTGTGTAGTATCACATGAGATGGTTTACATCGCATACAATTACAATAACCAGTCCCGTAAAGGCTAGAAAAGCTGCGCCGGTTAAAATAGAAACGCTCCGTCAAAATTAGAATATTTCACAATAATTCATCAGTTTTAGATATATAGATATATAGATCTGGAACTGTTAAACCATTTAAATTCACTGGTTTCAGCTTCATCTGTGAAGAATGTTTCCTGGTTTTCTTCTTCTTCTAGGAGAATAAACTGAATATCTTTGGGCTGTTGGTCAGACACATAAGACTTTTTAAGATGTCACCATGTGCTCTGGTACCTTGTGATTTATGTATCTATTTGCTCAAAATTAAAAGACCAAATGATGAATTCATTAATAGAAAAGATGAATCAATAATGACAACGAGTGTTAGTTGCAGCTCTAAATGTGTAAAAACCTATAAAAAGCCTGTTTTTAACCATCCTGTAGTTAAAAGCTTCTTTAACTCGCTGCAGTAACATCTGAGTGCATATCTGACAAGCGAGCCTCCCTGTGACACGCTTCAGGTGACACTAAAACAATATTTGCATCTAATTCAGAAGATTCTTTTCTTTAAGCACCAGACGCCTGTTACAGTGTCAGGACGGTTCATTGAGATTCAGATCAGCTGTCACAGAAGATCTGACAGTATTTATCTTTGATGGGATTGTTTTCCATCTCACGTTGTATTTGTATGTTTTTACATCGTAACAATGCTTTATTTTTATCTATTTATACATTTTAAGAAAGTATTCAGAGTATTCTGCCAACACAACACTAGGAAATGTACCAACTTGTATTAATGGTTTTTTTATTACATTTTTTCAACAAGTTTTGCAAATACATAAGCATCATTTGCACTTTTTTGACAGTGATTTGCCTCCATAGAAGTACCTGTTGACTTTCTGGGCCGATAACAATCATAAAAGCGGGCTTGCTGCCCCGCCCCGGTAGCGGGGGAGGTTTCAGGAGGTGACCCTGTGCTGTTGTGTCCCCAGAGCAGCGGGAGGTGGAGCAGCAGGAGGAGGGCAGCGAGGGCCGAGAGGAGGGACAAGACTCGCCGATCGCCTGCGGAGATGACATCCACCTCTATGACAACCAGATCAGCCCTGGGCCAGGTCAGTAGAGGGAGGGAGGGAGGGAGGGAGGGAGGGAGAGTGTGGTTGGTCTTTATCAAATATAAAAAGCAGAAAGATGTCAGTGGGATTTTGAACACGGTTTTCTTACTTCAGAACCAGAAGTTCTGGTTTTACTTCGGCCCTCTATGCAGAAATCCCTCGTGTGCGGTTTCTTGCCGTCTCACTGCGACCGTTGACCTGATGTGATTCTAAGTAGGACTGTCACGATCAGCTCGCTCAGGTATAGAGAAAAAGAAAAAAGGTTATAAAGTGGCACGCTGCGCTCTGAATGTGCTCGTAGATAACCTCCTCTGCTGTTCAGCTGTGATCAGTATCAACTCTTCATTTTCATTTTGCTCCTTCGCACTTTTCTGCGCTGGTTTTCGGAGACGTTATTATGTCATAACACGATGCGCCCTCTTCAGACGCGGTGCGTGTCTGCAATCACGGCGGACCTCCTGAGGCGTCGGTCAAGAAGGCAGCAGAAAGAAAAACCCTCAGAACAACTTTGAACTCATTTGTTCTGGTGGAGTCCATCCCGAGCCTGACGGCAGGTGTTGACTTGACAGACAGCTCCTCAGCTGCAGGTGATTCTTTTTTTTTACCCCCCTCCCCCCACACACACACACACACCAGAAACCCCCATGTGTCAACAGGTGACCGTTCCCTTTGAATGTGACAGGTGACCGTGTCACTCGGGCTCATTCTCCATACATAGTAACACTTAAGGTGTCTGACAAGAGAGCTGGAGCGGTGCATGCTGGGAACAAGTTAGGAGGAGAAAACAACAGTGAAAAGCTCTCTCTCTCTTGGACAGGTGCTGTGAGTGTCAGGTGTAACATTAAGAGTGTTGAGTGCTCGAGTGGCGTAGTGTAGACTGTCACGGCAGAACAGATTATATCAGAAATACTCATTATGATAAACGCGAACATGGGAGGTGTTTACACCTCTGAGCCAGGATGTAAAACTAAATTATTACACAAAAAAATATAAGAACTACAACCTCTGAAATCAAATGAGTGGTCACATCTTTATGCTCGTCCATTGAGAGCGTCTGTAGTGAACACAGTGTTTTGGTTGTATGGTGGAATGTCCACGATGTAATGCTACTATGCCGGTACTGAGATGCGGTAGTATACCTGTTGTGTACGGTTTCCTGTGTTTTCTTCTTCACCGCTTCACACGACAATATCATTTCTCACACGCGGGAATGTTGGAAAGTTAAAAACAAGAAACTTCAGCACATTGTTTTCACCGTCAGAATAAAGGAAAACAATTACCACTTCATAAAGATCAGACCCAAAATGTAACATCAGTAGTAAATAGTACATTCACACTACAACACTGCAGGTCTGTTTAAAAACCTTTTGTTCTTCTTAATCTATGGTTCTGGTGCAGTTAAAACATTCATTTGAATAAAATGTCTTTCCTGAAAACAAGACGCTTCATCTCATTGATGAATAAAAAAAACATGTTTTAATCCAACACTGCCTGAAATGACATACTATCATTTGTTCAGTCCAAGCTATTCTGTTATAACAGACATGGATGTAAAGTGCACCATGACAGCGAGATGCTGAATCTAGTCTGTAGCCCAACCAGCCTCAAGGAGCTTTACAGTCTGTACAGCACACTCTGTCCTTAGACTCCCATAAGAACACAACTAAAAACGTCTAATGGGGAGAAAATGGAGGAAACGTAAGGAAGAGCAGTTCAGGAGGACACACACATGCAATAGATGTTGTGCTGTACAGACACCAACAAAGTAAAAATTACAGTATAGACGAAATCTAAATGACAAGAAATGATCACAGATGTAAACATATATGAAGAAAATGAATCCTGGAGTCAAACAGATATAACCTGAGTCACATGACCTGTTCTCCACCATGTGACCTGGAAGAAGGAGATGCATCATGAACATAAACACACGAGGAATATAACATCTCAGACGTTAGATAAATGATATCCCCCCCCCAACCAAGTCTAGTGGTCACAGACATTAGACCCCAGTGTCATCAGCTGTTTGCGTTATCATCCTATTCTTTATTATTCCACATCAGCAGGCCGCTGTGGAACACGTCCACCATATCAAATCAATGTACGACTCTGAACAGGACTTTTAATCACATCCTGTCTAAATCAGCAGTGGTGTGGAAAAGCAAATAGCTTAGCGATTACATCAGACCCAGAGACGGCAGCTCCTATCAAAACCTCATTCCAAAAACATCTGTCTGTTGTAGTTAATTCATATTTCTCCGTGTGTTGAACTGTGGCTTCTTTCAGGAGAAGATGCTTTTATAACTCTGGTCTCATGACATCTGTGTCTTCTATCTTGACCTTTATGATATCCTGCCTGTTGGATATTTAACTACAACATATTAAAGATATGTTTTATAATGGCGTCCAACATTTGAGTTATTTAAAGAGCTTTTTTATTTGATTTAATGTCCTGAATACGAGCTCAGCCTCCAAAGTCCCGCGGCACATTTCCACCACGAAGCCATTTTCATCTTTGAGTAGTTCTTCCTCGTGTGCTCATCTGTCTCATCTCAGGAAGTCTGATTTGTTTGACTTATCATGTCTTCTATCGTCAAACTTGTATACGCATAAAAACATTTTTGAATAAATAAACCAGCATTGACTGAGGAATAAGAAGAGCGGAGGCACATTTTAATGATAAAGTGGATTTTAGTGGCTATGAATCTGTCTCTTAGAAACGACACCAAAGCACAGAAGATGAGGCGAGGTTTGTCATCGCTGTGAGACATCTTATTCATCATCAGTAGTACCCGATCCATTCACAGGAAGACACTTTGGGACCACTGTTGGTAAAGTACCGTGCAGTTCTAGAGGTTCTTTCTCTTTTTTCCGCGCAGCTGAAATGTTCGACAAGGCAAAAAAAAAGACAAAGCTCTCAAAATGTGCTGAATGTCAAGTTTTTGTGGCGGAGACATTTAGAAAGTGATTCTCTCCAGACCTGCGGTGGTTAAACTACGGCGAGGATAAAACTAGGATGTACATCGCAAATCCTAGTTTAAATTATCTCTGTCTTAACCTCCTGTCATAGAAACCAATATTTGACTGCCTGTTCAGTTTGTTACATCTTGATATAAAACTGATTTACATCTTAAATTTGCATCGTAGTCTTTTAAATGGCGCATAGGCCATAAGCAGAAACCAATACTTGGCAATTTATGCCCGTTTTAGATTATTTATGTACAGATTTACATACATTTTGAGTGGGCATAATTAAAATTATATTTATGAGCAGCAGATGCAGAAATACGTGTAGTAGTACGTGGGCACACTAATAAACCGTTTGCTGGAGATGCTAGTTATTTTGACAGAAAATCTATTTTCTTGGGCTTTTGTTCTGCAAACAGATTTTATTGTAGTAACTGGTTGAAAACTACACATGTATTGTTGTTTGGCCATTTGACTTCTTTTGTATGTGGCCCACAATCAAACTTTCAACAGTAATTAAAGAGTGAGTCCATTATGAACAAGAAAAGACAGCAGTTTAACAACAGGTCCATAAATATAGCAGCGTCGCCACAACTTACTGCATGTTGCTTCTTGAGTGAGGGTCCTGACATCACTCCGACTACAGAGCGCTCTGCTGATACTCTTGCTTTCTTTATCTACATGTAACTCTCCCCTGTAAGGGTAAAGTGTCTTCACAATGCATTCAAGGAAAGGCTTTAAAGCACTTAAAGTTCATGCACAGTAGACGAGGCAGATGCATCTTCAGAGGTTTAGGTTTTATTTGTAGGTTTTCTAAAATAAAGGTTCGACATAGAAACAGTAAACAGAACTAAAGTACATGTGCAGGTGAGGTAGAAACCCAATACGAGCTTATATAAAACCTCCACCATGCAAAATATAATATCAATACGCATGCTTGTCTTTCTATTATCTTGAGTCTGGGTATATACAAAGACAGAGAATCAGTCAATAAGTACACATTTGTAATCCATATTTGGACACCACGGTAGTTTTGAACAAGTGCTATCCTGGAGATGTACATTTCAATAATAGTTGAAGGCGATTGATTTGTCTGGTTGTGTAAAGATGAACTTAAAAATTACAAATAAAAAACTTTTAAAGCTTTCTGGCAAGTCTGTACTCATTTACTTCACTTTCAAAATAAAAGGTACATGAATGTGCAAGAAGGTGTTTCCTTCAGATTGGTTTTCTCTGTAGTGACGAGGACCTGAATTAGCATTTGTTGACAAGAAGCTGATAACAGGATGAATATTTCTTAATCCAGCGCCACCAACAGTTCAAAGTTGTCTCTTATCCAGAGAAATGACTCGGCGTCTACCAGATGGATGGGCACAGAAGCCTGCTTCTCAGAGGATGTACCCTGAAGGATTCTGATGTTCCTCCAGCGCTACTGTGAGCTTTTACATTTGTAGTTTTGTGTGAAATATCTCGACAAATATTTGATGAACTTCCACGACATTTGGTACTTTTTATCTGTCGCCATCACAAGGTCAAAACTTTAATCGTCTGTATTTTGGTTTCGACCAAATATTTGCAAAACTTATGACGTTCGTATCGGTCTCAGTTGAGGTTTTCGTTGAGTGCAAATGTCAGCACGTTAACGCGCTAACGTAAGATTGAATATTATTCTTGTTCTACGGTCTGTGTTTGGACGTATCTGCAGAAAGCTCCCCGTCCTCTTGTGGGGGAAGAAGAGTCGGTAATACCTTCTGCTCAGTTCTGGGGTGTTTGTGGCGTCAGGCAGAGATAAAACAAAGTGATTGATGGAAATGATTATTGAAGATTAGAATTGAAGTACTTACTGGAAATGTTGTCAGCTGGTGCTGTAACACAAGGATGTTGTTTGTCGTCTGTGTTTTTTTAAATCATTTTGACATGATGGTATCCATTCTTCTCTCTTTAGAGAACTTTGTCATGAAGCTGTCAAATGCTCTCCATAAATAGAATTGATTTCATGATTATGTGTCTGTCAGCGCAGAGCTCAGTTCCATTTCAGTTCAATCAGTTTGGCTGAATACTGAAGTGGAGAGGTCACGAGAAAGGACGGGCGTCTGTCACACTTCGGACCGAGGTCACTTCTTGACTTGATAACTGTTTGGGGTTTTGTTTCATGGACACAGTATACTATAAAGATTACAGAAGAACCCGATTCTGGTTGAACCGGTTTCAACCGGAAGCGATCCTCGCGATCCTACCCCAAGACCCGTTTGAGAGGAGAACTTTGAGGAGAACCTTCAGGCCAAAGAGCTGATATCAGATCAGCCTGACCTCACAATCAGACAGCAGACTAGCGGGAAAGGGAAGCAGTACATGAAGCTTCTCCACTAGCTGAACACCAGACAGGTTAGGCTAGCTGGATGACGTCATGCTAATAACTCATTCAGCTTTTTAAAACAACGGGGACAGATCCAGCACGGACAGTTAGGGAGTGAGGGACATGAAGCACCTGCTGAGACATGATGTATAGTTATAAATACATCATTTTATATATGTGTGTGTGTGTGTTTTATATTCTAGTGAATATTATATGATATATATAATTATATTATACAGAATATTATTATATGATATATATATATTACTATTCATTCATTATCCAAACCGCTTATCCTGTTCCGGGTCGCGGGGCGCTGGAGCCGATCCCAGCTGACATTGGGCAAAGGCAGGGTTCACCCTGGACAGGTCGCCAGTTCATCGCAGGGCACATATAGAGACAGACAAACATTCACACCTACGGGCAATTTCGAGTCTCCAAATAACCTAAGCTGCATGTCTTTGGACTGTGGGAGGAAGCCGGAGAACCCGGAGGGAACCCACACTGCAACGGGGAGAACGTGCAAACTCCACACAGAAGGACCACCTGGGATCAGGGATCGAACCCAGGTCCCTCTTACTGTGAGGTGACAGTGCTAGCCACTACACCACCGTGCAGCCCTTGTTATTATATTATACTGAGACTATAATAAGATGTCCTGACGTGTTTGTCAAAGTGTTATTTTCTGCTTTTTTCATGTTGGAATAAAGGTTAAATATTTAACTGTAAAGTAGTAATACGTGTTTGATACCTTAATGTTTTTGCATTAAATCATTCTGGGATGTTTGCTGACATTGATTGGATGTGGCTCAGCCCTACAGAGAACATGTTCCACCAGCTCCACTGATTCTCAGTATTATGAAAGTGAAATTTATTTATTTTTCTACACTACCAAACTAATTACTTCCTTATTTCATAACACATATTTGAAATGCATTTACTGTCTCAAACACACTGCCCAGCTCCGGCCCAAGGACACTTGAGATGTTTTCCTATCACACAGTAATTCCGCCATTCTGTCATCCTGCAGCCCTTAATGACTGAAACAATACAACACTTCTTTCTGACTTGTGGCCGACTGAAAGTAATCAACAGTTGTAGAGCGACATTGATCAAATAGAGAACCGATAGGGACACAAACCCAAGTCATATTTTAACACTTCCTCTCCCTAATCCTTAAACCCTGAAATGCTCCTGGATTACTTTAAGCCACAGAGTATATTGAGACATACAGGAGGCCATTAGAAGGAGGTGATCGTTGGGGTAATCTTACATGAATATATGAATATCTCCCCCCGGCTGCAGCCTGACAGCAGTTAGAGCCGCGGCTCGCTCTCCCCTCTGGGAGCGGATCAACCCAGCCCTGTGCTTCTTGATTGTGAGGCTTTGATGAGCCAAATCCACTGCACACCACACGTGCCCCCAACCCAGCCCCGCCATAGCCTCATCCTGGAGGCAGGCTCTGTCTCCCAGCACTGCCTGCAGGCTTTTATGACGGCAAGGTGTTCAGTGTGGCGATCCAAGCCCCCCCCCCCCCCTTGTCCCCCTCACGCGCACACTCAAACATGTTCCCTTGTGGCTGGATTATTGATATTTTGATATCGCAGTGCTTTCCTACGTCTTATTGGCTGGTTAAAAGGTTGGTCTGGTCGTGCTTTACCATCGCTGAGAGGGAGGAGTGAAGCGCAGCTTGATCTCCAGAAGGAGACGTAGTGCATCACGTGGAGCAGAGGAGGAAAGCCCACGGTAACCTCGTAACGTCCCCCCCACAGTAACCGGCGATCACGGCGTTATGTAACGGCAGCGGCGGACCGTTCATGAGTCAGCAGGGTACTGGGTCTGCTAGCTAAGGGACTGAACCGTGTTGGAAACCTCCTTCCCTCGGTTTGTCCCCGTATTGTTTTCCAACATAAAAGCTTTTCCCTCCTTTGTCCCTCCTTTGTCCCTCCTTTGTCCCTACACTGAACGTCCAGCCTTTGTACTGTATGTGAGCGCTCGGCTCCACAGACCTGTGTATTAAAACCTTACCAGCAGAAAACCTCCAGTCCCTGTTCAGTGAGAGCGTTTCCAGACTTGCCTCTTGGCATCTTCAGCACTTTGAGAAAGAAAGGGTCTCTTTACTGGCTGAGTGGTTGTTATTTTTATTCATCTTTATTTCAGAATTTGCACCATCAATGATGGTTGGTTAGAACATGCTTTAAATGTAAATACAGGACATTTGGCAAAGTTAAGCATTTGAGCTTGTAATATTCAAATTCAACAAAAGCAAATGCTTGTACACTGTTTAAAAAAACGGAAGACAAAAGGCCTAAAGGGGCCGACCACGAACCACAGCATTCCCAGTTGTAGTCTGCTTGCAATTCATGTCGTTCCCCATCTCTGTCTCGCCTCATTTCCTGTCCCTGTCTTTACCGTCGACTCTCTAATACAGACATAGAATGCCTCAATTTCAGGGCAGTATGCTCATTTTTAGTGGCGGTTACCGGGCAGATCAGATCTTTAGTTTTACATTCTGCTCTGAAGCACAATGTGCATTTTCTTTCTCACAGTTTACCATCAACGTTTTGACCAACTGACCGTGTCTGTTTTCTGTACGAGTTTGCTCGATGTGGGTTCACTGTGTCATACTTGCACCTGTGTTTTATTGATTGAAGTGCGGCGAGACTTCAAAATTGCTCCAACGATGAATTTTCTGCTGACAGCAAATATTAGAGATATATTAATATAATGCATACAATCTTTATTTATTGCAGTCATAGAGTTTATGATGATGCTGTATTATGGCACAGTTTGATCGTCTAACTGCACCTCATGTTTGGTTTCTCCTCAGACGCTGACGACTCTGGTTGCGTGTTGCTGAACACATCACGACGGGTAAGCGTACTTATTCACTGAATGTATGATATGTTACTATTTAAAAGATAAGGACGTTTTTGGCAGTCAGGGAACTTGGCACATTGCTGATAATGAGTGCAGCCATCTTAATTGATCTGGAGAGGAAATTTGACTCCAGATACTAGATTTAAACTCAACATCTCAGATCTGGAACCTATATTGGAAGTGTATTTTGAAAAGGGACTGTCTGCATGTAACGAGTGGGAAATGAATTGTTTTCTGTGAACACTGACGTTTAAAAAAAAAAAGAAACAATCCCTGATTCCACAACTGGCGCTGCAGGCTATGCTAATAAGATGCTTTCATCAGACTACAGTAATTCTGTTTGTATCCTTAATAAATCGTCCTTACAGCTGCTGCTGCTCTTTTAACACAATACAACACATGGCCCCACACATTACATGTTCTAACTTCTCTGCATTGGCTTAGTTCATTTTAGAATTCATTTTTAAAGCCCTAAAGCTATTTTATAGTCTCACGATAAGCTCTTTGAACTCGGTGGACTCTTTCAAAAAGCAGCTAAACACCCATCTGTTCAGATGGGAATTAAGGTAACATGTTGTATGTCATGTTTTAACTGCCCCGCTTGTATATTGTATCCAGTCTTTGTTTTATCTATTTCATTTTGTTTCTTTGACTGTGAAGAACTTAACTTAACCCAAACTTGACCTTTTCCTAAACCTAACTAAGTAGGTTTCGCTGCCTGAAGGAGATTTCTTGCCGAAAGCCCTGAAGGCAAACGTCTCCCACGTGAGCCACTGACCAAGCGTACGTTTTTGACGAGTTAGGGGTGAGAACGTTTTGCAATTGTACATGAAAGTGGTGGAATTATTTGTGATGGAGGTCGAAGCGATTAAGTGATAAGAATATTTTTCTGTTAATGATCCATTCTTGATCTTCCTTAGTCGTAGACAGTAAGTTAAACTAAGCTTCATCACATCTAGGGATGTTGTTATGGAACTCTGACACCGAGTCCCAGTCTACCACTTATATTCCCCTACACCCTGTAATAGCCCACAGCTCCACAGCGCACAGTCGGCAGCACGCTGAGGTTTGTAAAAATCCAATTTCTGTAAGATGTGCCTGACAACTGAATGGCTCTGCTGTCAGTGTGAATATCTTCTCATGCCACTCCGCTCGTATTGTCCCGTGTTAGGAGCTGGTTCCTGTGTTTTAGCAATGCCACAGCGGTGCTATACCTGTACGACTGCTGACTGAATGCAAAGCAGCAGAATGTAATTAGACTTGATGAATCCTATCAATTAAAATGTACCTGAGCTGTGCTGATGTGAATCTCACAAACTCAGGGAATCCACATGTTGTTTGCTGATCCAGGACATTTTAGGATGTAAAGACCTGCTCTAGTGTTGTTGTCTAGCTTAGCTCCCTGTTTACCATTTGTTATCTTAATTGGCTTTCCGTATGCATTATGAGCTTCAGTCTACATTCTGGACCCACCTGTGTACCGTCTGCAGAGTTTCATTCCAAACAAACACACCAGCAGCTGATTCTATTGATTGTTACGTGTTCAACCGGAGAGGAGAGACTACTCACAGGATCAGCCTTTATATTGGACCGCACCTGTTGGGTTCATTAACGTACAAAATGAGGCGGATGGGTTTACATGAGGCGGATGGGTTTACATTGGAGTGTGTTGAAAGCTAGCGTTGTGCATCTGAATGTCTGGGCTCTCCATGGTAGAGGACACAGCAGTGAATTACAATAATGAAGCCTGCTGCTGATAAAGGCGTGCAGACGTCTTCTCAGAGTCTGCCCCGAAAGAGAGAGTTATTCTGATGGAATGTTATTAAGATAAAAGACAATTCTGGTGGAATGTCAAAATTCAAATTGGACTCAAAAACTTCCGACTCACGACTAAGACGATGCTTCTCACTCTCTGAGCGTTTACATTTTGGAATATCTGTCTGAAAGCAACACATTCTGTGAAATCTGTGAGTTGATGAGATCCATTAGTGAACCAGTTAACATCAGGATTAATACTCATGAAGTTATACGGACATATACAGCCGTGTGAATCAACCCCACGCTCAATGATTAGTCGATTATTTTATCTGATAATAAACTAAATTGGCATTTTTACAAAATGAAAAAAGCTAAACAGTCACTGCTCGTGAATATTTTGAGGTTTCGGCCTGTTGGTTGGCCAAAACAAGACTTCTGAAGATGCCACTTTGTAATATATTATGATGGGCCTTTTTGAGTAATTTCTGATATTTCATCAATAAATTGTGACAATAATTGGCAGATTAATTGATAATGAAAATAAGAAGTTAGTTGCAATTTTCCAGTAAAGGCTGAACAGCACAAGTGAGCACTAAAAGCCAGACGGTGTCGTGTACAGTGAGAATATAAACCCGCTTTAATATGTCAGTTGTTTCTAAGTAGATTGTTCAAATGAATCAAACAAACTGTGATTCTAGGAACACATTTTGCAGATACATTTCTGTAAAATGAGGGAGTATAAAGCAGCGCCCAGAGGGCATTGGTTTGAACTGGTGACCAACCAATCAGGAGCTCGATGTCGTCAGTACACGCCCGCCTGAGAGTTCAGTTTGATGAGCCTTGTTCCTGCTTCTACTCTCTGATCTCTCCGTTCTATTTTACGCTTCTGTTGGTTCGTACTCTCCTTCTGTTTTTTTTTCACATGGTCACATCCTCACTTTCCCACTTGGAATTTTGTCGTGGATTTATTACTTGCAGTGGTCTTTATTTAGAATTCATTTGATCATTTCCTTAGAATGAAAGATTTCCCCTAATGCTCTGTCCAGCACATACAGTATGGACTGCAACACAACTCACTGTTCATCTGACCAGGAATACATCTTAAAATAGCACAAAAGTTATTTTGCAATTTACACCTTTTGAAGCACTTGACCCCGAAGCAAAACCGAACCCCAAAGTTGACACATCCGCACAAACAAATCAACTGTATTTATAGAGCTCCATACACAAATAGCTTCAAAGACTCTAGACATGGACTCAGCGCAGTGCTCGTCTTTTTAAAAAATGAATAAAAGAACAGCAGGGAATCCACTCATCTGCAGAATTTCTGTCAATCACACGATCAATGAAACGGAGGACTGGTGTGTGTCTGGGCTCTTAATCGAGCTGTGTTCTTCCCGCGGTCCGTCCGTCTGTCTCTCAGGTGATTCTCAGACTCCACTGGTAAAATCTTGACGAGCTTTCAAGGGGTGAAGCATCTGTTTTGTGTGCTGCTATTTAAAAAAGGGACAATGATAGGCTCAGAGGGGGTGGATACTTTAAGGTCAAAGCTTTAGGGCGCTTTCACACTTCGGCCCAATCTGTGAGTGGTTTGATAATATAATATTGTTACTGTGCCCGTGTGGTCCTGTGTATTTTAGACTCTGTGTCACTACACCTGCTGTATCACATGAAATAAGTTGGTGTCATAACATTACAACGGTGATTTTGGGATCCTGATTCTCTGAATTCTCTGCGTCCACTTCTCCAATGTGTTGATTGATTTAGGCCAGACTTCATGACCTGCCAGAACTCTGTAGGACCGTCTCACAGCCAGAACCTTGATGGAGTGAATCAGTGGATTTACACCTCTACTGATCTGGTTCTGGGACTCCGCTTAAACTGAAATGAAACAACAAACGATTTTGCAAAAATTCATCCTGATTCTTAAAGTAGTTGTAGTCAACCGAGCTTCAAATAAGATTTAATGGCTACAGCGTCTGGCCAGCTTTATTGAAATAAAAAAAATATGTGATTGTCCTTTAAAATGTTCCATTAACTACTCTTGAAAAATGACAGAAAACTGCAAATGTGCAGTTATTTCTTTTTTTATTCAACCAGATAAAATCTCTTTTGCGATGGAGATCTGGCCAAGAAGTTAGCAAAGTTAAACATTGAGTACAGGTCATTTTAGAGTACAATTTAACTAGAAAATACATAGAAATAGTGTATGATACATACACATACGTACAAACATATACCAAAAGGCAACTCTTGCACATTGTTACAAGAGCAGTTTGTGGTTAAAACCTCTGATAACTACTTATGCGTCAAAGAAATATGAGCTAAAAATGAGTTAGCTTCACAGGCACATTTTTGTAGTCTTAACTTCTCCAAATGCAAAATCAGAGACATCACGGCCGAATCATCACTTCAGCATGTTGGGGACAGTAGAATAGTCCAAACCAAAGATACATTTAAACAACTATATGAAAGGATTTTCATGCCTTTGGTCCAATAGATGCATTTTGACAATGTCTTCCAGTCTTTAAAAATACACTGACTGGCATCATCATCACAGAAATCTCAAATAAAACTATTTCAGACTGAAAGAATTCCCATCTTCTCCCGCAGTATGTGAAGCTGATGAACTTTGAGGAGGAGATTCGGGCTCACCGGGACCTGGACGGCTTCCTGGCCCGGGCCACAATCCTGCTGGACGAGACCGCGGCCTCCCTGGACGACGTCCTGAAGAGAATGTTGCACCATGTGGGCCAGGACAGCAACTCCTCCGAGCCCAGCTGCAACTTCGAGGAGGTGATGAGCATGCTTTTCACAGACGCAGGAGCTCAGGAGGTCAACGGTAAGCAGTGAACCTGTCGACATGCATGTATAAACCAGCACGTGTGTGAAAACTAATACAGCCGCACAGAACACGATAAGACAGAGAACTTGTACCGTCTGTGTGAGCCCACAATCAGACCAAGACCATCCGACACCTGACCTAGAAACATCCAACGTCTGCACATGTCAACACCTGCCCGGAAAATAGCTTCACCTCCGGCTCAGGAGCAGAATTGTCAGACTGACTCGAGAATGCTTCAAGAAGCTTTTAAGACCCAAAGCAGAGTTTGTGATGTTTGAATCGAGGCGGCTGTCCATTCGCCCCTCAGCTTCTTTCAAGTGGACACAAATAGAGCTCGCTGTGCCGAAACTATTTACATGTGCAGACATCAAACGTTTCCCAGGAAAGCTGTCCGGTGGTTATCTTACACAAATGATAATCAAAACTATCAAATCCTGTGTTACTTTCTCTCATGGTGGTAGTTCAATATTTTTCAGATAACTAGAGAAGATAACTTGAGATGTTTTGGTTTATTCTTTTCACAGATTGAAGCCATTTAAAGCAGGTTGCCACTTTAACTCACGGGTTGCTTCTTGTCTTCTTTCAGACTCGTGGAAAGAAAACATCCAAAATACACATTTAGGTGTTTACTTTACTACTTTGTCTATTTTTATCTGTAGATCTCTCCTAAATTCACCAAAAGTTAGTGTTAGATAATGCCTCATTTGCATATTCAGAAAACTTAAAAAGAACAGTCCTAATGCGAGTATTCAACTGGGGAAGTTTCATGGTGATATCTCTTAATACATTTCTTTTACCCTTTTCACCTGTGGTGGGCTTAATCTTCCTTTTTGGACATGAGAAGCTCAGGTTTATTGAACCTTAAAGTATGTTAGATATGCACACCTTACTCTCTTGTGATGCATACATTAATGTCTGAAGTGTACTACAGTTTCTCCAATGTGTGGTAATGATATGTCGGCTTACGGATCCCTTTCACATCAGCTCGGTTCCTTCAGCTCGGGTCCCTTTGGCTGAGTAGCAAAGCCTCTTGGTTAAAGGCGAATCTCCTCAGACCATCAGAGCAGGAGCAATCCGCCCTCTTACATAACAGTGCGTAGCCATTGTTGAAGCCTCGCTCTCTTCCCCGGCTGCACTGAACGCCGCATTCACAAAAGTAACTATTTCTTTTTTGCTAACGTCACGCAGAATTGAAGAAATATAAATGTTTTCCTGTTAAACGTCTGCTGAAGGTTTAAAGATGAGAACACGAGAGGGTTTTTCTCCCCGCTGTAGGAGCATGTGGAGCTCATGGTGGTGGAAGGCCTCCCTGTCCCGTACTCCCTCTCCAGTGTTTTCCCGTCTGGCTCGGCTGGTGTCCGCTGTTGTTGATGGGTAGTCAGAGGTGGGTGGTGGGTGACGCTCACAGATCCGCGAGGTGATAATTGACTTCTGTCATCGATCACTCACTTAGCTTTTCAAATGGCTCTCTGAGACTCTCAAGCTGTGGCTACTTGACTGTTTCTCTCCCAGAACAGCCCACTCAGAGGCCACAGAAGAGACTTTTCTCTTCTTCTTGTCTTTGTGGCTATCTTGACAAAAAAAGACTTCCTGCGCAGGTCTGGATGTGTCTGGAAAACCAATCTGAGCACTCAGGGGTTTCACTGAATTTTAAAATTGAATAAAGCAACGTAGAAAAATAAAAGAAAATAATTATACTAGTGATACTTTATGACTAACAATAATCGACAGCCATTGAGCAATAGTTATAGCTGGTTGACCACATTATCATAGAATAGCACTTCTAATGGGAGCAACAAAATACTGTGTTGCTTTATTTTAGATGATTAGGAAGTTATGAGTAATGTCACAGCTGAGAACGTAGCAGTGCAGCGTGTGAACAGTTTATTTGTCGGTGAATAAATGCTACAACTCCTCAAGAACATAGACTGTACATAAGAAGTGGACGTAGTCGTCGTGACGTCACCCAACTTCAGCTGTCGCCATCTTGGATTACGATTGTTGCCATCTTGGCTTTTTGCGACCAGTGAATGGAAGTGACCATATTTGGACAGCGGAGGAGTGACGTAGAGACGCCGTATACGTCTCTGGTGGAGACCTGTCAATCACCGTGTAGCCCCGCCCTAAAGCATCCCCTGCTTTATGGTCTGTTTGACCCTAAATGGACCATAATGTACTAAATGAACATCATGCTGTATTGAAGAAGACTTGAAACTAGAGATTGAGACCATAAACTCATATTTACAATGTTTACTGAGGTAATAAATCAAGAGAGAAGTAGAGTCATTTTCTCATAGACTTCTATACAACCAGAGGAGTCGCCCCCTGGTGGACATTAGAGAGAATGCACGGTTAGGACACTTCTGCATCGGTTTCACTCGGCAGAACCGGAGGTTGCCGCCTGCTCAAGACACGGGCCAAGTTCGTGAGTCTCGCTTGCCACCTGATTGAAGTGAAGAGGGTTAGCTCAGAAGCTAGCGACAACTCTGGCTCAGGCTCACTTAAGGTGGACTGACCTTTAAGGTGGACCAGCTGTTAGCTGAAGCGACAAGCCGCCCCTCTTTTAACTGTTAGATCACATTAATTGGTCAAAATATTTATTTTCCGGTTAAACTGTTGGTTATCAACATCCCTACTGAAAACTATGTTCTGTTTGTATCAGGAAAACAGGTTGCATATTTCATTTGTTACACTCGTTTAGTTCTTATATTGGTCGCTATCAGCAAGTACCGATATAAGTACTTGTACTGGTCTGATAAAAGTGGTATCGGTACATCCCTGCAGTTAGTAGTTGTGCATCCTTATCAAAGTTATTAATTAACTAAAGATTCTCTCAAAAACAAGGTCAGGGTTTTCTTTTGTATTGTGCAGCAAGAAGAGCTGTTTAAAATCAGCTGAAACTTGAGTTCTCACTCTGGGGAAATGCAATAGCTGCAGCAGAAGCAATAGGGGAATAGCAGATGAGAATTAGTTGATAATTAATTGCACAGCAGATGATGTAACAATTCCACCATCATGCAGCAAATATGGATGACAAAGATTTACAGTTTGAAACAGGCAAATGAGAAGCACCACCAGCTGTTAAATAACATCTCGAGGCATGTAACGTACAGAATATATACAGAATGAGCAGAAAGATTAGGCTCAGACCATCCTAACATTTCTATTTAGTTTTGTTCATTATTTTAAAATAAATATTCTCCACTTCAAAAGATGGACTCCTCATCTTCAAAATCCTTCTCTTCAGTCAGAGTAACGTGTCGGATCCTTGAATTAAAATTCAGGACATTCACACGTGAAACACGCGTCAGTGCTGAGGTGTGTGTGTGTGTGTTTGTGGGGGGGGGTATCTCCACGGGGAGTAACAAAAGCTCTTCATGGGGAATACATTCATATTGCACGTGAGTATGTTATCGGCGGCGCACATCTCTTCAGGTATTAATTTCTGCCGTATCTACGCTCACACTGCCACAGCCGGGTGATACGGCTGGCGAGCAGACCGGCTCATTCTGAGTGTAATACTGTACAGCTGTGAGATAAAGAGACCAGGGCGAGATTATAACAGCACAGTGAGAACAGAGAATTACTGAAATGGACCAAAAGATGAAAAGCCCAAAGAGATAATTAGTCCTGCTAGAACTTGTACAGAGGAGCCAACTTGTGCTGGTTTTTTTGGGTTCACTTTTGTCTTGGGATTCGGCGGCACATACAACGAACAGCATTGCTGATGATGCAATGCATAATGATATTACTTAAACCAGCCTCTATTAGTTCAAAGAATAATACTGAACCAGTCATGTTAGGACGCTGGAGATGATGGTGGTGCTTACAATGTGTCATAATTCTTTGTATCGTTGTATTTTCCTCTCTTCTTCTCGATGCTGTTTGTGATGACTGTACCTTCATTTCTCCCTAAAGTTCTGTCACCTTCGATCGATCCCACTGGCTCTTCACTTTGCCTCGATTTGCATAATCCTGCTGTGTAATTTAGTTTTTGTTTTTTATCACTCAAATCAAACAGAAAAAACAGTCCCACGCTCAGAGCTTTTCAATACTCTCGGTACCCATCCCTAATGTGTGAACACCATTTGTTACTTTCTGACTGGAGCCACTGCAGTTATTCTGCATGTGATTCACTCAACAGGAAAGCTGCTGTGTGTGTTTGAATCAACCGACTATGCCTTCTCTGTTATAATGCTATTTCTTTTCCAGGCCGGTGGCGTGACTCTTCACTGTGAAAGTCTCTCTGTAGCGTTCTGCGGGAGTGATCAGAATACTAAATTGAAGCCATTAATTCGAGCTCTTTACCGCGGGAAATAAAAATACATGTCATTTTTGTTCTCATCTTGATCTCTTCTTCACTGTCGTCTTCGGGGTTTCTCTGCTCTCGCTGAACACGTAACCGCTATCAGTGATAACATAGCCTGTAGACGGTAATCAAGATAAGATCTCTCAGCGCCCAATGGAGGCGAGACATTGAGGGATTTTCTCTGGAAAATGATATTTAATATGCACGAGGTAAAAAGGAGGGCAGGAAATGAAGCTTCTGTTCAGCGGAGATATTCATGTGTGTGCCGGTTAACCAGAGTGTCTCTATATGAGTGTGTGTGTCTCAGTGTCGGTCTTTTGCGTATGTTTGTGTAAAATCTTCGACTCTGCTCGCCTGCTGACCGCAACAGAAGGTGACTGAACTGGTTTCTCCTCTTGGTTTTTCTTTCTCCCTCCTTCTCCCCATGCAGACAAGTCTCAAAGTTTCGTTTTCTTTGATGACGGTAAGCTGTGCTTAATTGGATGAAAATGTCAGCGTCGGCCGCCACGAGGCTGCAATCAGTGGTGTGCTTCTGTACCAATCATCACCATCAGTGTGCCGCTTGTGTTCCCTCTCCACGCTCGGGACTGGGTCGATCCATTGAGTCATCAAATGATTACAGACGCCAGCAATCGCTCCTGTGTCACAGATATCGATGCCTCTTCAGCTGCCCCTCAAATCAACGCCCCTCTCCCTCGATAATGTTATCAGTTCTTCTTTTTAGTGCAAAATCCTGTGAAAAAAGTACAAACAAAAACAAAATGCTGGCTCTGTGTGAATTCTATGAGGTCAAAATGATTTGACAGAAGAGATATGTTGTTGGCATGCTCTGGAAATTTATATAACTCTAATATAGTTTATCGTATATATGCAGCACTTGACTCTGATAGTATTTCCATGTAGGGCCTTGGTTTATTTCCCTTTAATGAAATTAGTTTTTTATGCAAGCAAGTAGAGGATTAGAATTGACAAGCTCTCTAGATAACAAGGTTTTCACTATTGACCCAGTCCTAGTGGCCCTCTGCTTGCCGTGTGCTGCATGGGTTCCTAATATACAGTAAGTGTTTCATCTTCTGTATGGATCCTTCCTGTATTTTAATCACCTCCTTCAAAGTGCCCTCCACAATCCACGCTTTGAAGGAAACCAATCATTCCCCTTTGTGTGTGTGTGTGTGTGTGTGTGTGTGTGTGTGTGTGTGTGTGTGTGTGTGTTCGCTGGCAGGTCTACCGATGGTTGAGATCACGGTTAATCTTTAAGGCAGCATAAGATCAGTAGGCTGTATTTCGGTCACCTCTGAGCATAATGTAAGACGTCTCCTTTCACACGCTGACAAAGAATCCGTGAATCTCTGTGTTTTGTTTTTGTTCACGCGTCTCTGTGGATTTATCTGCCGCTGATGTTCGACTGGCACGTCAGCCAAAAGAAACATTAACATCGCTGGGTTTTTGTGACTGCTTTAAAGCGCATCGATTGATTCGTGTCTCTCTTGTTTGTGACAGACTGGATTTTCCTCGCGTGATTTGCAGAAATTGCAATCTGTTATTTTCCCGTCTTCCGACCGAACCGTGTGAATAATGCAGCTGAAAAGAATTCACCAAAAATTCAGGACAGATCAAAGGGGCCAATCCAGCCATCCGGTCTTGCCTTCCTCATACGTTTTCATCACTTTCCATTGAAGTTTGTCACATTTGATGTGCTGCGTGTCTGTGTGTGGGAACAGCGGTGTTTGCATATGAAAAGCTGACGAAACGGTGCAGAAACCTTCACATAACTGACACATATCAAACGTGCATGTCTTAATTAGTCTCCCACTTGATCACATCAGCAACACTTCCTCTCCTCTTAACAGGCAGGTTTGTTCACCCTCGCTGGTGATGTAAGATAGCCTGTTCACAATGCCCCACACATGATTTACAAAGGAGATTGGGGTGGTGGAGGGTGACGTACAAACACAATCAGTTGTTTTCTGCAGCCGGTGAGAGGGAGGAGGTGGGAATGACCTCTCACTCAGGAGATATATTGATTGTTTATATTCGCGTTTAAAGTCCCCCCCCCCGCTCAGATCTGAGCTTTGTCTCATTGCTTCTTCGCTTGGATATGTGAGCTTCTCAGTGCAGAATGACGTTCGTGCAGAGTTTGATACTCGAACGCCGGGTTTTTGTTTCACACTCATCTGTTTTGCTGCGCTCACCTTAAATCTCAGTTAAAGACGCGTACGTGTACAGGATGCAGGATGTTGTGACATTACAACAACGTTGGAAGCCAATCGTGGTCCAGGATGCAACTTCACATCTCAAGATGTGAAATCCTTCAGTCGTACACATTGATTCTGGAGGCATTCTAGTTAAACTATTGAACTGAACAATATTTGCATATTCAGAGGAGTATTCGTATGAACTGACAGTATTCATGCTGTTGAAGCAATCGCTCACACTTTAAAAACACAAGTGGCACAAAAGACAAATATGGAAGTGGTTGTAATCTGAAGGCTAGCAGCGTTAGCTTCTCTCGCCTGTCGGTATGGAAGATCGTCTTCCTCTCTCCGTCTGTGTCCTTCATGTCTTCACTTGGTTTTCTCCTTCTTTTCCGTCCTCTTTTCCTCCTCTCCTTATCTTTTAATCTTTTTTTTGTTGCGACTGAATCTCTCTCTCTCTCTGTCTGTCTCTCCCATCCTCTCTTTCCTGACGTCAATGAGAAATTGGATGGTTTTTGATTATTACATGGCTGTCAGGCTTACTGCTATTAATTGAATTGAATGCCAGTCCATCTCCTTTACTTCTCTGTCCCTTCCCTCCCTCTTGTCTCCCCTCCCGCTCTGCTGTTCATCTAGCCTCGCTCTCATTTTCCTTCTTGTTTGTCCCGTCCTTTATTTTTTGTATGATTTGTGGTTGTTTCCATCCCCTCGGTCCTTCTTTGCTCCTGTTTCTGCTCTCAGTTTTCCTCTCTTCATGTCTCCTCCCACTCCCGTCTCTCTCCTTCCCTTTATTTTATCTCCCTTGATCCTTTCTTTTCCTCCCGCCTCTCTCTCTCTCTCTCTCTTGTCGGCCTCTCTCTGATTCTCCCTTCCCTTCCTCACTCCTTGAGCACTGTGATACTGTTGTCATGGTGACGCCCATCATTTTCTGGCATGAATGGCGGATACTTTATTGATGAGACTGCGGAGAGAGAGAGGGAGAGTGATGGAGAGACAGGCAGGCAGCAAAGAAAGGGAGAAGCCATATGGAAATGGTCGTCCCCGCTGCTCACAATACCAAACATTTCCAGCCTGTAATGTTCTCGGTACCGATGAGTAGAAGAGGACGTTGCAAGCTGATGCACGCTGAATCTCGTCGAGGGGTTTTTGGGATAGCCGGCGCTGCTGTAGAATTTCCCCCTAAACACTATTATTCATCAGTCTCAGCGTGAGAAGTCGGAAGGGAGATTCCTCCTATTAGGAAGCAGCGAGCTGGTTTCCGCTGTGTCCCGAGATGCCCGTGTTTGTTCTGCGTAAACATGGCAGCATAATGAAATGTGTTTGGCTTTTATCCGTGAACATGAGCGTTGGTGGTGTCTGGGGTTGGATGGACATCGTCATTAGTTTGTGTCGTGTTGTGGTGTTTGCACACAGAAAGCCAGCTTGTTAGACACTTCTGATGTAGACATCATATCGAGAAGCTTGGCCCCGCAGATAAGGCTCCAGACTTCCATCTGGCAGACACCATTAGACAACATACAGGAACCAGAGACAGGTCTTATGTTTAAATATGATGTGGTAATGTAACTATACATTCTAGGACAGCTGAGATACATTTGCTGGTGTAGCAGAAGAGAGGAGAGCTTGAGAGGAAGAAACTGGACCTGAGGTCCATCTCAGCGTACTTGTGTTTGACCTCTGACCTTTCCCCTATAGTCCACCTGCTGTCAGAGACGATCCAGGGGGTGACGGCCACCGCCACCGGGATCCAGTACCAGCAGTCCTGGCTCTGCATCCTGTAAGTCACAACGTGTTTGTGCATGTGTGTCTGCGTTGAAACAATTAGTCGTTCAAACGGTCGATCGAGAGAATAGTTCATCAACAGTTGTGTTAATTGATTGATTTTATTTATTTAATTAGCAGAAATACACTTGTAGTAGCCTTTCAAATGTAAAAGAGAATTTGTTTGTGTCTCTTTGATATCAATTTATATAAAATTTAATATTTTGGGGTTTGTGACGGTTGCTCAGGCAAAACATAAATTTCTATAGCACATTTCATCCACACGGCAATAAAGTGCAAAGACACAAAGCGCAAAAGAAACGCATTATAAAATAAGATGAAATAAAATACATAGAATGCATAACATAAGATGAAAAATGCAACCTGCCGACTCATCAGAATAATACTATTTAAATGGTTCTTTGAAGAACAGGTGAAGATTTGAGGGTATTTTTAACGCTATATTTTTTTACATTTTGTAGACAAAACAATCAATGAACTCATGTCAAAAAGAATCACCCGACATAGATCAGACGCTTTTCTTTCATTTTAGAGTTTTCTCAACCCATAAACGAATCCCTCGGTTTACCCAAAAATTGTTAAATTGCTGAATTTGGAGATGCATTGCTTTAAATCGACGGCTACAAAATGTGAATGAGGTATAACAGTCATGTTTTAAAAAAAATTTAATATTTGTATAAAATACACTTTAATCCAACTGTGAGAACTACAGGAATGTGTGTGTGAGTGCATCTGCAGTAGATCTGTCCATGTGCGCATGCATTCACACGCGCGTGTGTGTGAGTGTTTTTATGCAGCACAGATGAATACTGTCTACCTGTTGCTGCAGAGAGAGAGAGGTTAATATATGGAAATGAAGGGCGCTGCTGGTGAGGTGAGGCGTTGACATTTATAAAACCTCCTCCTTCTCCCTCTCCGCTCCAGCTGCAACGTGAAGTACCTCCAGAGGCGTCACGTGTGCATCTCCCGCCTGGAGAGGCCACAGAACTGGGGGGAGAACTGCTGCGAGGTCCGCTATGTCATCCTGATCCTGGCCCCGCTCAAAATGGTAACTGCCTTCCCCCAGAGGGTGGAACTGATATGTGAGATTTATCTGACTGTGGTGGATCACTGAGGCATTTAAGGCCCACTTGTTTGTTATATTTGTTCATATTTCATTCATGAATTTATGTTTTCTTCTATTTTTTATCATCTTCTGCATTTGTTTGTCAATTAATTCCTTCAGTTAATCGCTGTGAAGAGATTTTTCTTTCATTTCCACTGCCAGTCTTTTCTCTCATCTTTGCCTAAATCTGTTAGCTGTTAAGTCCAACTCAACCATACAAACAACGCAAGCATCCCGCTGCCATCGCACAACTAATTGAGCATTTGCATACCCTCCTGCTCCGCTTCCAGCTACTGTATTTAAAAGAAAATGTATATTTAGTTCAACAGTTTTTGATTTTAGTAAAAAAAAGTGTGCTCTTGCAAATTCAGGTGCAGTCAGCCACCTGTCATGACTCCAATTAAGTTTACTTTTCTTACCCACAAGCTCAGTTCTGGATGCAACCGAGGATGGACATTTTCTGCTTTTGCATATTTTTAGCCCAAAATGCCCGGAATGGTTTAAACAGATTTTATGTCTCCATGCTTCCAAAAACCTGATGTGTCTGTTGCTGCAAGAAGACGCTAATCACCACATGTTACAAAACAAGATCCTGTTGTGACAGCTCACAAAGTGTTTTCTGTCATTAAAAGACAACTGGGAAGAAAACAGAAACTAGCTTCTGCTTATGTGCCGCAGTAATTCAATTAATAAGACATAATTGAACAATTAAACCACAGAATGTTTGGGATGCTAATGTTGGTTTTGAAATATGATTTTCACTCAGATTGTTTGGTCTTATCAAACCACCTCTGGCTTTACTTTTTACATAAACCAAAGTCACTTTATTCAAGTCAGTGTTTGTATGTCGCACCATTTAAAAACCAAAGTGCTTTATCAAGTAGAAGGGAAAAAGTGCAGAAAATGGACAAATGACACAATAAGAACAACATATATCTAAAACAAACAGAAAGTCAGAGTGGGTTCTTAGCCTGGATTTGAAACATTTGATATGTCATTGAAGATCATTTTCTATTTCAATTCACTAAAATAGCTGAAGTGCTACTGATATCACTGGTAAGCAGCCAACGGCCTGTTGAACTGAACTCAATCCAGAGCCCTCGCAGTGTTTAGTGTGGGCACGAGTGTCCTGTTGGCTGAACCCTTGTGCCACACATACCCTTCTCTCCCATCAAACCACTCAACCCTTCTGTCCTCCACCGCTTCATCCTGAGCTTTCAACACACACACACACACACATACTGTATACTTGCGCAGACACACTTCACTCTCCTATCTTCAGATGGCACTGACTGTTGGACCTCTCCTGATGGAAACCTTCAATCCTTAACCCCCGTCTCTGCTGGAAAGAAAAGGGACTTTCTTCATGCTGGGTCTGCTTTTAGCGTGGGATCATCCCCTAAAAGTCAGCATTTTCACCAACCTACCATCAAACTGTGGAACCACCGGGAGGTTGGCATGACACTGGCAATCAGCGATGCCTCAGCTAACTGCATCACGTTTGTTTGTTTGGTTTCTGTTTTTTCCCATGAGCCCTGCGTTCGTGGCTCTTTCCCCAATGCATCCAGCTCCCTCCTTGCCAGTCCTGCAGGCAGCAATCACAACCACTAATGGCATTCTCAGAGAAATTAATCTGCGAGAAAGAAATCTTTTGAAGGGGCATGATGATAATGACAATAGGAATTCCTTTGGTTGGCAAATGTATGCAATCTAGCGTGGGTACGGGCGGACCATTTCTATCAACCACCATTTAAAGAGCGTTGCGGCATTTGTGGCTTTTTTTTTCCTCCTTTTCTGTACCCGGCGTGAATGTGCTGACCTTTCTTCACAAATGCTCCGTTTCTCATTTAATCGGTTAAACACATACCTGAAAGCGCCTATCAACATGTTCATGTACTGTTGCCCTTAAAGAAACTCCTTCAGATCTTCTGCTAGTTGGACCAGCTGCCCTCAGTCTTTGATGTTGATGGCACGGCGTTACTCACTGTGTACTTAAGTGCACTCACTTTCTACACACACATTTCCCCAGAAATCAAAGCTAGTGACCTTGAAACCAATAGGATGAATCCTACTGAATATGTTATCCCCTGGACTTTTGCTTCAGTGCCACCAGCAGGTCAAATTTCTCACATCTCAAAATTGACAACAAAACTTTACGCAAACTCATTTCCAGTGGGTGTTGGCCTCCGTCCCTCGCACAGATTCTTGCACAGCGGGGGGGAAGGGGAGTGTTCGGTTTGGGGATCTCAGAATTCTGTCTCTGCTCTTTGCAGATGATGTGATTCTGTTGCATCTGATCAGGAGGCCTCCTTGAGACCTCCGGTTAGAGGTTTTCCAGGTACATCCAATTTGTACGAGGCCCTGGGCTGGACCCAAAACATGCTGGAGGGATTATATATCTCGTCTGGCCTGGGAACACCTCGGGGATCCCCCAGGAAGAGCTGGAAAATGTTGCTGGGGAAAGGGACGTCTGGAATAGCCTGCTAAGCCTTTTACCCCCACAACCCGGCCCGCGGATAAGCAGAAAGAGATAATGGATAATAATAAAAATTGATTTTGTACAAACACTCATGGTTCCCAGGAGATGTTTACCAATAACTTTGGTGATCTCTTGACTTTTTCTATAGTGCCCGTTTGAGGCGGACATTTTTTGTTTTTTGTTATTTGATGGATTGTCATGAAATATAGATCACAGTTTTTCCTCAGGTACGGCGCTACACCGGAGCTAGGGGTTGCTATAACTAGATCCCAAATCTGTGTAGACCCACTTAAACTCTCTCAGGCATTTCAGTGCTTCTTTATTTTTGAATAAAGACATAATGTAAAAGTTGAAAACCACCCTTTCAGTTCCTAACGCGATTCCCTAAAAAATTGTTGTCGCCATTTGGATGTATTGTGTTGCTATCAATTATGAGTGCATGGGCACTGTTCGGTGTAGACAGGCTTAATCTCACGCAAAACATTATTACAAATGCACAGTTGTTGGATTATGCATATTGAATAAATGAACTTCTTGTTGAAAGATTTTAGCACCGGACCGCAGCCACAAATTATAACAACACAATACATCCAAAATGCGACTACAACTTTGCACATGTACGTTTTTTATGTCATTTTGTCATTTTTTCTGTTGTTTTTTTGTCTTAAATATTCTTTGGCCAAGCTACCCCTGAGCACCAGGAGAGAAAACATCTTGGCTACGTCCATGATTTTCCCCTGTATTTGTTATCATGATTCGCTGACTAGCATGTTAGCATGCTGAAGTTAGCATTTATCTCAAAGCAGTCTTACAGAGGTGCCTTCAAGGCTGCCTCCTAAACCGATTGTCTGACTAAAGGTCCATCACACAGAAAGAAAGCCTTCAGATTATTCATGATCCATTCTCTCAACTCTGGTTGAAATTCAGTTACCACTGTGAAAAAGCTTAAAGGCTTAAATTGTTCTGTTTGCTGCAGCTGCTGCTGTACGCAATGAGCCTGGCTATGTTGGTATCAACACCACCTGGCTTACAAGGCTTCCCTGGCACACTGTCTCAGAGCCTCCCAGGACATTAGTACCATCGCTCTCTGACTTGCGAAAGCATTATTTGTAACAGATGTGGGATTATGGACAAAAGCCCCCCCACAACACACAGCTCCAAACCTGCCACCTTTGAAGTAGTATTGTTTACATGCTCCTGAATATCCAGACCAGGTTTATATCTTCAGTTCTGCATTTGAGAGGTATTCTTAGTCGATGTAATACATTTTATACAACAGTATATTGTGATATCAACCAATCATACAAAAACAATACGAATCTGTAAACATTTGTAGAGCATACGTTTTGAAATTTTTGATATTTCTACTCTTCAATTTTTGTTATTTTGGAAAATTTAAAGCATTATTTAAACACTCAATAATTAAAGCTGCAATAATCAACAATATTAACAATGGATGAAATGATTGTGTAATGTGAAAGAGGTAGAGACTTGACTTGACAGTGCGTTGCAGCATCTTTTGGCGTATTGTTCTGGTTTTACTGCTTTGATTCACTCTCACCACTCTCATTAGCACCACAGTTGGCAGCTGGTTTCTCTGAAAAGCTCTAAAAACACACTTTCCATTACCAAACACAGAAATTGAACTTTTAGCAGCTAAACTGCAAAATATTTTCCTTTAGTGGAGTGGATAAGAGCTGGTGGAGACCAAAAGCAGAGCTGAAAGCAGTTTGTAAATTGGACTCGCATTCATCAGCTGGACACAAACAAAGCTCCACATGAATGCTGATGTGTCTGATCATTGCGTAAAAAGGAAACGTGTTGTTATTATAGCTAGTTTCCACTGGTTAAACACGGGTTCACCAAAACATACCTTTGATTCTTTCATTCTTTTTGTTGGGAATAACATAGCCTGACAAAAAGGGGGCACCAATATGTTGGGAACGTAAAGGAGCGTGTTTGGGTTATCAGCATCTAAGAAACTAAATTCTTGACATCAATAGAATTATTAATGTCAGTAACAATTATTAATGATTATTAATAATAATGGGGCACCACCCTGCGAACAGGGACCAATAACCAAACCATAAACTAAGTCTCATAATTAGTGTTCACTCACAATGTCAACAGTCTGAGTACTATTACACATTCAGAGTGAAAGTGAAGGTTTAAGTTCGAGCACAGACCACATATCAGCTATTATCACAATACACATGCACAAAGTAATCACAGACAGCTGCTCTTTAAAATATAACAGAGTTTATTACGTTCTAATACTAATGATGTAGTCAACTAATATCTAAACTAACAACAACTATACATTCATGAGCACGCTACCTAAAATCAACAGACGATTGAAAAGAGGAGGGGGAGTGTGTGTGTGTGTGTGTGTGCGCGCGCAAGGTGGAGGAGCGAGGGAACAGCTCAGCGACGTATGACGTAGTTGGGACGTGGTGACGTCTCTCATGCGCGAGACTCAAAATGGCGGATAGCCAACAGGAGACCTGGCGTCTATACGTGCCGGTAGCCGTTTAGCACGTAGCTAGATTAGCTCAAAGCTATATGTGTGTGTGTGTGTGTGTGTGTGTGTGTGTGTGTGTGTGTGTGTGTGTGTTAGTAAAAGAGAAGGGAAAGGAACAAAATGAAATAAAACAAGAGATTAAGATCATCTGCGCCGCGCTGGAGTACGGAAGATTGCTCTCTCAGCCAGGGGAGCAAGAACCGCGACTCTTTGTCTCAGCCGGCGGTTCTGACCTCCTGAACTGATGAGAAGCAACTTCGACCTCACTGCGGCTAGCTCAACACAGATCACGGTAGCATGAAATACACTAGCTTCTCCACAACCCCAACGATCTCAGCGACCGTTAGTGTCGGTGATTATTAAGCATACACCACGTTATAAAAATGAACAGTACTTTAAGCACACGAACAAGATAAAATAAACACAAATGAACTCTCTAACTCTGCCCAGAATCTATTTCGCCTTACGGTACGATGCGATCGTGGTGATTGAGGGGGGTTCTTCTGAGGGGTTCTTCTGAGCTTCGTTGGGCCCAGGCAGCGCGGCTGCGGGCCGCGGGAGGTGTTCTCTCGGTAGGAGAGAATCGCTTCGTCTGGATCAGGGCTTTTCGTGTCCTTATGGCCGGAGCAAACGAGGCGCTTGGTGGAGAGTGGAAGTTCTCTCTCTCTCTCTGAAGAAGTCTTGCTTCTTCACTTCTGCAGGACTAAAAGGGGTTCGCTTCGTGGATACGAACACAAGATAAAATAGACAGTTTGGTGAATTCGGCCAGCGAATATAAACTGTTAGACGTAGGATTTGGTTGAAAAGGGAAACAACGTTGGTGTGCTCCCTAGCTCGACGGAGGTCGAAGGGAAAAAGCATTGAGGTGGGGGTTGCAGGTAGTTTTGTAGAAAGGTCGCTGAACCACAGGGGTCCTGGGGTGTCTTGGCCCTCGGCCAATTAGATTGCAGCGCTGCTTTCAGGTGACTTCAGGAACGCATAGTTTTTGGGGGAGCAGGGTCGTCTTACCGGAGGTCCCGCCTCGGCATCCCTGCTCTCGTCCAATGAGAGCAGTGTTGCATTTGGGGGAGGAAACTCACACCCTAATGTGAATTTCTTCAGAGCTGGGGGTTTGGTGCTCAAACTACAATCAGGATGAAACCTTTGCTTGCAAAAGGGAAGGCCTGACTCTCTTTGTTCCACAGCCCATGTCGAAGCCATATAGTCAGATTCCAACATTTTGATGGACCATCTTTTCCACACGCTCTCCCACAGAAAAGCACCAAGACAGCGATGGAGCTGGGCAGGACGTTCGCCACCCTCTTCTCTGACATTTCCTTCAGGCAGAAGCTGCTGGAGACGAAGACTCAGGAGGAGTTTAAGGAGGCGCTGGTGTTCCAGAGGCACCAGCTGACGGCAACCAACCAGCAGCCCATCGCTCTGGGGAAGGAGGAGACCGACCCCCGCAGTCACAAGCCCCTCAAGGTGGGCAGCAGCGTTTATATATGTGTGTGTGTGTGTGTGTGTGTGTGTGTGTGTGTGTGTGTGTGTGTGTGTGAGCAGCATATCGAGTGTGTACAACCTTTCAGTTGTCGGCGATTAGGCACATTTCCACCCATTCTGAAGCAGCATGTATTCATCCATTGGAGTTATGAGTCCTTCCCATTGCCCTGAGGCGAGGCTTGTGATTGGTTAGCACTCGCTAATGCTCCTCTGAATGTCAGATTTGAAGTAGTTTACGTATGCTTCTTCCTCCCACACCTCATTTCTTTACAGTGCTCCTCCTGACGCGTGCAATAACACACACACAAACACACACACACACACACACACACACAACCTCACAAACACTTGACCTCCATGGCAAAATTAAAAAGGAGCTCTCAACTGAAACCAATGATGCCTCCCACAGGACTCTACGGGAAACGCTTCATGAGTTTGGCCACAGTTTGTGACTCAGGTTAGAAGGTATTTTTGTTATAGGGACAGAGCTTAATTAAGTCCCACCCACACTGGAAGGGAAAACAAATCATCGTTCTCCATTGACTTTGTATTAATTGAAGGTGCCTCCTTGTCAGTTCCGCCTGCTAGCAAACAACAGAAAGAAGAAGAGAAAAGTGAGGCATCAGCAGGAAGAATGGTAAAACTGTGGGTTCCTGACACTCACCATGGCTCATGTTACGTGTGCAGCAAGCATTTTGTGCAAATGTCAGTCTTCGGCTAACTTCATTTCTGTAAGTTATGCAACTTGAGTTATAGCTCTTGCACTTGTTTTCAAGTGCATTCGCTAACTACAGCAGCTTGCTAACAGCTAACTTGTCCCATCGGCTGCAGCCCGGTACACAAAGCGTCCTTTGACATGCGGAAATCTGATATTTTTAGCAAGCTGCAGGCATTTGTTTTTGCATTTCAGCCCCTTGGTTGTATATTGTGGCGCCTATTGTTTTGTCCTCTGGTGGGCATGTTTTATAGTGTATGACTCTATAGATCACGCTCACTGCCACACCTCCGTGGCATGAACGCAAACACACACCTTCACACTAGGCAGCAACCTCCGGTTCTGAAGAGTGAAGCCAAAGCTGTGTCTTAAACTTGCATTCTTTCTAATGGCCATCAGGGGGCGACTCATTGTAAACATGAGTTTATGGTCTCAATCTCTAATTTCAAGTCTTCTTCAATACAGCATGATGTTCATTTAGTACATTATGGTCCATTTAGAGTCAAACAGACCATAAAGCAGGGGATGCTTTAGGGGCGGGGCTACTTTGTGATAGACAGGTTGCTACCAGAGCCGTATACGGCGTCTCTACGTCACTCCTCCGAAGTCCAATTATAGTCACTTCCTTTCATTGGTTGACGGTCGTAATCCAAGATGGCGACAACCAAAACGCCGAACCCAAGGCTTCATACCGGGAGTCCACAAACCAACGGGTGACGTCACGACGACTACGTCCACTTCGTATGTACAGTCACAGCCAAACACTTGACCTCCATGCCAAATGTCAGCCTCCTAGGGCGACAACTGTGGCCGCCAAAGTGTGAGGACATTGTTGTGGACTGACAGAGTGAGCTTTAAAACTAGCTTTAAACCCCCCCGCCCCACACACCTCTCCTCCTTGCTCAGCTGCCTCCACTCCTCCATCTTTTCTCTCCCCCTAATCAATCAGCATCAACTCCTGCCAGGCCTCCTCAGTGGGCAAATGACCTTACATCTCTCACAGTCCTGTCAGAGCTCCCCCACCCCTTAGCTACACGTGCACACACACACACACACACACACACACACACCTCCAGAGGGGCTCTGCTCAATGCCACAGACCAACATCTCCTCCTAATGTTGCCGTTGACGGGCCAGGGCTCCCAGACATTTCTCCTCTTGTGTTTTTTATTTATTTATTTTTTATAGTGGAGGATTTTGTTCGGTGTTCATCCCAGGGCTTGAAAGGCTCAGTGCCACTCAGTGAAAGAGGGCTATATGGAGCAGGACAGATGGATGGAGAGGGGGGGGATACGGGATGGTAGATGGGGAGAGGGAGCAGGTGAAATCAAGAGGAAACAGAAGAAGAAGTGAAAAACAGAGACCACCGTCTCCACATCCAGACCACCCGCAAGAACACACCATTAAGTTTCTCCCTCCCGTCGCCTCTCTCCATCGACCTTTCAGAACGGATGGCAAACAGGTGGACAGTAATTCCTCTCCGAGACTTTTGTTTATCGAACCTGAGCCAAAAGCTGGTGATCAAGCCCCACACACACACACACACACACACACACACAAAATACACACACGGGCTCCCTTGTAATAATAAATGATTCCATGATGTATTGGGATTTAATGGATGAACAGTCCTTGTTGAACAGGCGTGTGTGGCTGCATAAAACTAGCCAGACCGCTCAGAGAGAGAAGAGGAGAAGCCGATGCTGTTGTTTGTTTTCAGGTTGTTTACTTTGTTCTGCAAAAAAAAAAAAAACGACATAACTTCTTTTTTAGCTGACAAATGAGGCAGGACTGATTCTCCCTGGGGCTTTTCCGCCACTCACACACACACACACACACACACACACACACACACACACACACACACACACACACTCGTCACCCATTCCGTTTAATTGCGTAATGCTATGTTCAACAAGAAAATAAAACGTAGAGTAATTATATAATTTGCTTAATCAGCTCAGCCAGGACTGCACATTTACTCCCTCACATCTGTAACCTGAAAGATCATCTTTTTTAAGATGCACTTTGTGAATCACGCGTCTCTTTCCCGACCGTCCTCCCGACATCTCTAAAAATACACCAAAGCTTCTATCCCTCGCCGTCATCTCTCTGTCATTACTCGATCACTCTGGGACACGGGGATCTTTATTAAATGTACATGAAAGTGTAGTCCTAGGATTGAAGCTTTTCCAGGACTATCTCGTTAAATTTGATGATTCAAATCAGCTTTCAGAAAGCCCCCCTGTGAAATCACCAGCGCCTCAGCTGAACCATCAAATGGGTCATTTCTAATCCAGCTGTGTCATTGTCCACAGCGGAGGTCAGCAGCCTCAGGCTTTCTGTGCTTTTGCACCTTTTGGAGGTCACCATGGTCAATAATTAAAATGTAAACTTATCCAACAGAAACATACACAGTATGCATCGACGAGGAAGATGAAACTGGCTTGTAATTCACTCACAAACTCATTTGTGTTCATTCGGTTGAAGTTTGTCCTCGAGGGGGAGCAGTGCGCTCGCTGTCAAACTAGTTCTACAAATACCAACGTGTGCCGTCAATCAACACCGTGTTTTACAAAACTACATTCCTAGATTACGTTTGAAATTTTTAATACAGCATTTTCAATAAAGTTGTGTTGTTTTGGGACCCGTCTGCGCAGATATGCATCGAAAATACCAGCAGCAGTTTGGATCTGAACATGTAGACGTGTTGATGTTGCCTCCTGCAGGAAGAGAAAGTAGAGCTTCTACAAGTTGAACACTTTAAAACAGGTTAAAACAATAATATTTATACTTTTATTTACAGTTATTGGATAAAAAATATGCTGGAATTACATATATATTCTTTTTCTTTCTGAAACCAAACTTACGCAATTGGTTGTTAGTATACTATAGATACTATAGTATATTATATTATAGTGTATATATATATATATATATATAGTATAGTATATTACTATAGATATAGCATGAACAGTACATAGTTTTTGATGATTTTGTAAACTAATGTATAGTTTATTTCTCTTTCTAAACAACAAAAGATTTCAATAACATTAAATTTCAGCGTTGATATATTCTCAGGATTTACTCGGCTTGCTTTGCTTCCTTTTGACCTCTGCATCCCAAACCTTCTTCGATCAAGCAAATCAAATCTCAAATGTCAAACACACACACAGCCAGCATCTATAAACGGAAGAAGAAAAGACTTGTTACAGCACCCGAGGGCTGCCGGTGGCGTACGTCTCAATCTGCAGCAGCTGTAACTGTCCTTGCCTGTAGATGGCGCTGGTCACTGGCACGTTGTCTACACTCGTCTCACGTTGTCTACTACGCTCGTCTCACGTTGTCTACGCTCGTCTCACGTTGTCTACGCT